AATACTAAAACATTTTTCGTCGTTATCTTCTAATTTTGGGCTTAAAAAATATTTTTGAATCAAAACAGATTGTAAACCATAACAAACATAATAAATGAAAGAAAGAAAGAAAAAACAACAACAAAGAATGCAAAAACTTTCCGAAGAAACATGTTTTATATTGATAAAATACATTTTCAATGAAACATGGCGGCCATCCTGAGAGCCATTTTAGGTGCCATATTATGGTATGAGAGACAACAAATCAAAACATATATGAAAAAACGTGTGTACTTCTTTCAAACAGTTCAGCAAGAAAAATGGATGCCTGTGTAAGTAATCCCACAAATAGAGAATATAATTTCATCATTTAAGACGCCATATTGGGACGCCATAAGTATTTTGGAGTTTCCTGGAAAGGAACTTCTGGGAACATTATGATTTTAAAATGCAAAAACTTTAAGCTTTCAAATAAGTTTAAATTCTGTACAAATTTTATCTGGGTATACTGAAGCACAGACTCTACTATTTCATTGTAATATTATTGCCATAACATAAACAAATAAAGCTTTGAATAACAAAATAGATATATGCAAAACGGTGCCCATCTAAGACTCCTGATAGGCTTTTCTCATGATTGACGTCACCTAACCTTAAAATTTAAATTTATTTGATAAAGATACTTTTTCTGGTCTAAGCAACCAGTATGCAAGAAATTGTGATTACCCGACAAAATGCTTGACCGTTATTTGTTAAAGAACACAATAATTATAAATAATAATAATAATAAAATATTGTTAGGGATCATTTTTAAAAAAAAATAATATTTTAGCGAACATCCTAAAACTGCAATTGTTTAAGCCTACAATGGCATTCATTAATGTGAAGTATGATACGGGCACTAACCTTCCCTCTCCAAAACACGAATATTTGTGATTCGAGGCACAGTTGAAGTACTGTGATAGAGATGATTTAGTTTGTTAAGGTACTCATGTTCGCAAAGCTTATAATTATTATATCCAAAAGTACAAAAATTATTTCCTAGCGATTCTCTTCGTCCGATAGAAAAATCATAATGCGTCATAGTCTTCTTGATAGCATTAGTATGCTTGTCAAAAACTATGCAATACTTTCATTCAATCAAAAAATTAATTAAAGAAATACCTTTAGATTTGTTGAGATCAAAATGAGGCTTTCGTTACAATCCATATAACATTCTGTATTGTAGACGATCGAGAAAACGCATCAAAATGCAATTGCGCAGTCGGTATAACATTAAAATACTGACAATACAAATCGTTTGTTAATCGTTTTGAACAAAAGTATTAAGATTTTTATAAAACTGAAATATTAGTTACACTTATTCAAATGAATGTAAAGTTGAATGACAATTGCCTTTTGTTGAATATATTTGGCTATTATGATCTACTATAATGTATTCTATTATTTCTTACTATCATCTAACTAAACATTGTCATCTGTTAACAATTTTTTGTAATCTTTTTATCTGTTGTGTACAGTCTTTGTCATTCTACAATAGACGTTTTACTCACAAAAGAACAAGAAACACTTATCCCTTCCTCCGGCAGTATACATTGTTGAAAGTGTATGGAAATGTGAATTTACCCTTTGAACTTAAATTCAACAGGGGTCATCTACCAGTACTATCTGAGATGTATCAACATGTTGCACATATATTATTAGAATATTAGACTGGTTTGACTGTACTTGTTAATTATACATTATTATCGATAACCATATTCAACAAACCTGTTTTTTATTATTATATTCTTTATTTCATTTGATCAATTGCCATCTGTTGTTGAAGAGTGACATAGCAGTGGTCTGAGTAATATGTTTGTATGCATAGCACACATGGTATGTGTTTAGCAAATCTAATGATAGACATACATGAGCAACGGATATGCGTATAAATAATTCAAGGGATCATAACGCTGTCAAAAATTCTCAATGGTACCCAAAACAATGACGAATCTGTTTACTAAATTTCTTTTCAATTTGTGCAACCTCTGCAAAGAAAATGAAAGGAAACTGCAAATAATTTGTCCAAGGGATATTACTCTGACAAACCCAAAACGGATTTTGATCTTGATACCCTTATGGCAATGTTTTGTTTGTCTGTTTGTTCGTTTCATTTTACGCCTTTTCCCAACAGTATTTCAGTCATATAGGCGGGTAGTTTCCTAACCATCGTTCCTGGAGAGTTACACCAATACTAGACTACCTTCCTCCGTGCTAAACTACCAAAGCCATTATGACAAATATGTATTCAGTATGTGCAACCTCTGCAAAGAAATAAAGGGCAATTGAGAATAGTTGAAATGTTTAAGTCCAAGGGGCAAAATTGCTTCATAGTATCAAAAACAGAACTTGGCCAAGATATTTTTATCGTGAATCTATATACCAAATTTCATTACAGTATGTGCAACATCTGCAATGAAAATAAATGAAACGCAAACACTATCACCCCATCCTCAATTCCTCACAATCATCAACACAATCCTTAACGATATAACAACAATTACTTGAATCACAATTAAACAACAATAAGTACCAAAGTTAATTTCCGTCATAATTGATGTAATTTCCATCATCATCATCATTATCATCATCATCATCATCATTATCATCACAACATCTTTATAAACATTGCATCATTTATAATGAGTGTTGTCGATATAATTTTTATTGTTATATTTATAATCATTATTATCGTTACTATAATTAGAACAGTCGTCGTAGAGGTAGTGGAATTTAGATGGGATTTTAATGTGTTCTGCTATAATTCTAAAATTGCATTTGTAAATGTCGTTTATGTGTTAAGTATTATTTATTGATCTGCTTTTCTAAAAGGTGTGATTGAAAAAGTTTTATTGTAAATATGGTTATCATTATCTAAAATATATTCCTGGAGAATGCTTAAACAAAAACGTGTTTTAATGCATCTTTATTTCAAGTTCCAGAATATTGATATATCCTATGTACTTCCGAACGTTTTAGAAGAACGTGTTGTTCGAATGCGTTGCGAGGTTGAAGACGCCAGTCAAGAGCGACTTGGCGACAAAGCTATTACTAAAGCATTTGAAAAGCTGAGTCAGGAAAATAGCTATCCAAAAATACTCCTCCAATAATATATTGTTTCCATTTGAATAGGGACATAAATCAAAAACTAAGATACGTCATGTTCTCCAAAATTGTTTGTTACCCGTTTCCTTTGATTTGAATGTGCTTTAATTAAACTAGTTTTTCTTCAGACTGGACAGTACACAAAGTATAAAGATTGAGCAAGTTTTCTAACAAACAATATTCGAATATTCACAGGAGGAACCAATTTTGTAATTTCAAATATGTTGTAACTTTCAAAAAAGATATTTTAGCTGTCGCCTTGACAATAATTACTGCAAATTTTGGTGTAATAACGCTTTTTCATTATGCAAAGGAAAATGTGTGGCCCAGTTTTATTTTACATTGTACTAGGAAAATTTAATGACAACTGCTCTCCTGTTCGACTTTCATTTTTGTTCTTATTTGCCCTAGTGTTATCTGGATGGGTTTTTTTAACTATCATATTTATGAAAATTGGCAAGAAACTAAAAATTGTCAGTCATAACATCGATGACTTCCAATAAGTATAAGATTTAAAGAAAACTGCTGCTTATAATGTAATTTGGATAGTTTGTTATTCAGATAGTATACTTAGTTATAGAGTTCATGTATAAACAATTTCCGGTAATATCTTATCATAACCACCACAAACGAATTAAACTTGTTGGCCAGTCCATTTCATTGATTCCAGACGATAACTAGAGTTTTGAATGAATAATTGTAATCAAACTTGGTATGAAGCAACTTTATGTGTATATCCCGCTTGGATTGCGTTTGGACCCTTCGGATCAAGGTTAAACTCACTGTTTGTTTCTGGACAAAAATGAGTAATTGTAATCAAACTTGGTAAAGAGTTTGTAATTAATAGTAGTAGAAGTAGTGGTGGGGGTGGTAGTTGTAGTGGTAGTGGAAGTGGTAGTGGTAGTATTAGTAGTAGTAATAGAAGTACTTGTAGTAGTAGTAGTACTTGTAGTAGCAGCAGCAATAGCAATAGCAGTTCACAAATTAAACATCAGAAAATATAGGTTGCGTTCAAATTTTGATTTGGACCACTCATATTTTAAATTGTAAAGGTGAAGGTGAGGTATAGATCACTTTTAGTACTTGAATGGGTATCGTGGGTATCAACATTTCAGTCTCTCTGTGTATAACATTACATTATCTTTGTAAACAGAATTATTTATGTGGATATTAATATAAGGCTTGTAATTGTTTGTCTGTTAGACTACAGTTCTAAGTACTATTTGATTAGTAAGCACAGAATGATTATAAAACGTAATCGCATTAAATGTATGATGTCGTTTTTTTTCTAAATTGATCTTTTAAACGCTATCTTTAATATGAAGGATGCGTATTTCCAATTTTGTAGATCGTTCCACTCATCATTAATATTGTGATTGTGTTATGTACTGTAAACACTTTCATCAATTCAATTTTTTACTAGATGGTTTGTCTAGTATTTCTACATGAATACAGTTTAATCACACTTAAGATATGTTGCCTGCTTTTATATGTGTCTTCTGACAAGCTGTCTGCGACTTATACGAGTATTGAAGGTTTCCTGATAGGAATGCATGCTTAAATGATATGTTACGATTCAGCTGGTGCTAGTGGGCGTGGAAGGCAGCTAGCATTTACCATTTCAATTTAAATTCAAACCCGGCCTTCATTCTTTTTCATTTTGCCGTGTTGGAAGACCAACGTATCTATTTTTTACTACAGCTTTCATGGTTTCATTCCGACTTAGGAACACAAACAATTGATTTTGTAAAAAATATTGGAAACACATCTGCTAAAGAATGATAAGAAAATATGTTGCATTTGACAATTAAAAGACTATATTGCTTAAAATACTTTTGTACAAAGATACTCATGTAACAAGTAAATCATATTGTTCCTGAACTGTTAATCATTTTTAGCTCAAGAAGATAGCATCAACCAGTGTAATCTGTCAGGTATGTCATTGTTGACAAAAGAAGAAAGCAACTAAGATTGGCTGATGTTTTAGATATTGTAAATGACAAGAATAAAAAAATAATTTAGGATTTTGATGTTACTACATTTATATTTCTTCAAATTCCTTTTTGTAAAATGCTCATCCTTTAATAAAAGAAACCAATCCAAGAAAAGGTGATACAATAAGTTACAATAAGATACAGTACAATAAATGATACAAAATATGTATAAAAATGATTTGTAGAACCATCTGCTCAGTTGTAAGCTTACCTCTTAAACAGATACGATGTCAGACTTTTACTAATTAACTAATTAATGTTTATAATGATATAAACATAAAGACAATTTTGAATGTGACATAGATTTACCATATCTAAAAATCATAATACGAGTAAATTTAGTCATTTATATATAGTAAGAATAAATAAATATATATAATTTTCAGAAGTACGAGTATTTATGTAAAAAAAAAACTCTTAGCGCATGACACAAAGTTATCTGATGTTTTCACTTATTCTGTTTCTTTAAATTCGCACAAAACCAATTACTATGTCGTTTAGGTTCTATGCCAAAAGGACCGATTGTCACTTTATTTCATTCATCTCGTACATTCCGATATTTTTTATATATCCTTATGATGTTTCAAATATAAATTCAATGGACACCTAGGTATATAACAGCCACTGAAGATTAACATGCACAGAATTCTTTTGGAGGTCGTTTGAAACGCGTTTAAATGTACAAACTATACGATTAAGGCCATACCTTTAAATTGTATCTTATTATTTACCTTCGAGATAATAATCTGTTCAAATGGACATGTGCGACCTAATTGTTAAGGCTGCTGTTGAAAATTGACTAATGATATACGCTTTGAACATGTATAAAAGTACAGACACAACAAAACCTTGTGCAGTAAGCTATGTCCAATAATAAAAACCATTAGAACATGTATGTCTGCATTAAAAAGTTCAGATATTATACATATGCGGATTAGGAAACATTCATAAAAATATTAAAATCAAGCGAGAACGAGCCAATGTTGCACGTTTTACGTGGTTATGACGTCATATAAAACTAGTTTACTTCAAGTGACATTATGCTCATATTTTCTATGTCAAGTTCAATTAAATTGTCATTTTATTTTAAACAAATTACTATGATAACGGTGATGGACCAACAGTTGATGTTGAAACATGTTTAGGATGAAATATAAATCTTCCTATAGTAAAATAAAAAAGCTTGTCCCATCTTTTTACAAAATTGAATATTGGCTATTATAGAAATTTCTTTAGACCATGTGAGTTTTTTGTCGTTCATGCGAAGTAAATCGTAAAATTGAAAGGATTTATGCTAAAATCTAAACATAATTCGACTTTCACTGGTTTACTCACTATATACATTTGGATGGGTATACATATTACTTTCAATAACTGTCCCGGTACTGGAAAAGTATCAAAACATAACTGTCAAATAACATGGCAGGTAAACATGGAAAGCATGGTGAAAACTTAAAACTAAAAGAAAATGAATCCGTCTAAACCGTTAAAACGCAGGTTAATTTGTCTTTTATCACGCATTTACATCTGCGGAAGCCTTCGAACTTACTAATTTCCTCGATTTTCTGCAGATTTTAATGCATGAAAAAGTGCATAATTCATATTCTTATTTATATATTAGTGAATAAAATGACAAAATATACATGCATAGTAAAAGAACAACAACTGTTACAACAAAAACATCTTAACAAAACATTTTTTTACTGCTAAAGCAGTTTGTTTATGCTTCTAAGAGAGATAGATTATAAATGACACTACATTTTGTCAACTGATCACCTTTTTATGAACCATCATAATATTGGTTTTTGTATCTCTCAAGCGTTACCTTATAATTAAAACAAGAAAGGGTCATCGACTCAAGTGTAATGAGGCCACAAATTGTTTTACAAATCAAGATTAAACAGATTATGTAATCCATTGTATCTTAAATAGTAAAGGTGATGAATATATACTACAATGAAATATCATACAAACGAACGTTTTTATATCAAGTAACGGAAATTGTATAAAAATGTTGACGGTATATCCATCATACTTTGACATGTATCTCAGTATCTTTTACTGGTCTGTTGTTTGTGATCGTACATCTATCCCTTCTCCGTCATAAGATCTTGGCTGATCTAGACTTGATAGACCTGATGAAGGTTCGGGTAAGGGTTTATGTGTACGTTCATATAAGATTCCGTGTGTGTCTGAGCCTTCCGGTTGGCTTAAATCTCTAATATTCGGCTTTCTTTGATGAAATTTGACCTACAAATTGTAACGTTTCATTGAATTAGTTATTTTTGTCAAATGCAGTTTAAGCAGTAAAATATTCAAATTTTGTATAAATATGTGTACAACATCGTCGCTTATTTTTTTCATTTTACCTCGTATGTCGTATTGTTTGCCGAATTGAAAATAAAAAATGTTGACATTTAAAAATAAAATACTTATTTCTGTCTTGGAAAATATTGTCTTGCAATCTTCATAAGCACTTTACAGTATGACAGTATGGTCCTGCAACGGAATGCGTTCAACGACATTTTGTACAAAGAAACTTTAAAAAAAAAAAAGAAAATCAATAAGACTGACCGGCGTTCAAAGGCAATATAAAATATCTATATATTGATTTCACTTATTCAGGTTATCAGGCAAGCGAACCTTTTCTCTAAGACGACACAACTATACAAGATGACTGATCAAACATGAAACATGTCACAATTAAATGTATTTGTGGGAACAATCCATTTCAATTGTACACTAAATAATTGTAGATAATGTGCAATGCATGCTACATAAAGAAAGCAGCGCTTAAAATGAAATAAATTGTCGTAAAAATAGCATAACTTAAACAAAGTTATATTTGACTAACAAAATACTAAATCATTTTAAGTGTATTTATTGGCAAAAAGATGATTCAGGTTAATGGGCAATAGGTGTTTTCAGAAACTATAAGAGTACACAAACAAATCTTTTGAGGTATAAAATTAAAAGCATTTCTAAGGCATATTTGTCCTTTTATATTCTGTATTTTATCTATAGAATTTAAAAGTGTTATTCTTATATTAAGACATTCTGGAAAACAGCTTGAAACCTGGATAAATTGATTCAAATATATTTGGAAGAAATTGAGTTTATTCTACTCGCGGACAGGATGTACACGACCTTGTATGTTAAACATATGTGCCATCATTAAATGTATGTCTTTGATTCTATTTATTTCAGGGCATAAATTACCTCTGGATCGGTACATTGATTGTCTTTACACCACTTTGCAAACGGTTCTGCCACTTTTAACACGATTTCCTTTTCAGAGTCGTCCTTCATATTACAATAGATACGTATAATACGCTCCTCAAAAGTGTCGGGAAGAACAAACGAAACCTGTTAAATACATTCATAAATACTCAACAGTGCTTGTCATACATGTACTGTTCATTAAGATGTTCTATTACAACCATTAAAATTACTGCATGGCGACAAGAATGCTTCTCAAAAAAGATATTAGAAGACATTAAAGAAGAAGTTGCATATTCATACGTGAATTTAAATCTTGGCAACACAAAAGACGAACAGATGTAACTGGTGTGACAAATTATCAGAGATCATATTCGATTAAATAACATCAGGCTGTCACTTTTTTATGGGAGAATCAAAACAATCTTAGTATGGACAGCTTATGAACATATATATGCTTAAAAGACTTCTAATGGTAAAAGATATGTTTTGTCTATAATTTATGGATACATAAATTTCACCGTAATTTCTGTTCAACTTCCTCTATAACTATTACTGTGTAAGTTGGCGGTTACTTATTTTATATTAAGGTTTTTCTATTTTGACAGTCTATAAAGTATAAATAATTGCACTAATTGTCTTTATCCTTATACATGTATTTAGTTCTATTTTTATTTTATCAACAATGAAAAATCAAAGTTGCTCAGGTATTTGTAACAAACCTGTTCCTTTGTTAATTTGAAAGTTTTATCCAATTCGTCCTTCTTATAAAATCGTACTTTCTCCAAAGGATTTCTATTTTCCATACCGTAGTTAAATTTCACAACCTAAAATAATAAAGTAACATGTTTTAGATTGCAACATTATATTAATGCATAAGACTGTGTTTGTTATTATGAAACAATGAATTTCTTTTTACAACACCATATCTAATCATAATTAAATGCTTGTTGATCAAATTTAACTTGACATATTCAACTCTTATCGTTGTCATTTCATTTTGCTTGTCTAAGACGAACTTACGGTGGTTCAATAAATGACTTTGCAATAGAAGTCGTTTTACAAATTGAAACGTAATGTTTTATTAAAACCTTATGTGCCTGGTATTCTTACAGCAATTTGAAAACAGGGAACAGTATGTACTGTCTGGTGTGGTAACTAAAACGATCACGATCTGATTAGATAAATGATAACGAAAATAACTGTCGACCATAAAAATTAAAGTGTATCTTTAAAAACTTACTGTTACGGCATTAGGACAAGAAATTAGTACTCTAAATGAATATAACAATCTTTGGATATTGTTTCAAGAAGTTTTTTCCCTACAAATCTGAATTTGTAAATCGGTAACATTATTTTTTGTCCGTACTCACATCAACGATGAAAAAATTTTCTGGAACACCTTTGTCTTTCAAACAATTTTTCAGTCCATCTAATACGTCTGCTTTTGTAAGCTTTTTATCCTGAAATGAAAAGTCGAAACTCCTAAGGTAAGATAAGTATATAAATGTGAATGGTACTTATTTTTCTAATAAAGCTTATATTTTCAAAGAGGGTAGAATAATTTGTGTCCTTTTAAAGATACTCCAATGAGGGTTTTTTTACATAAAGGGATTGAAAATATTTTGTCAATAATAATTTACCATTTGATGTATGGACGAGTAACTAAATTACAAAATGTCATGTCATTAGTCTGCTACATTTTCTTCGGAATAAACACTTCTATACATTTTTATTCCGCCAAGAAGGACCGAAAAGTGATTGAACGCCTTTAATTCAAATCAAGGTTTAAACTCGCAAAAACTGGTTAAGGACATTCTTTTTTTGAAATAATGACATTATTCAATAGTAAAAGGCAACATTTTATATAGAATCATAACCGGGCTAATTATTATGCAAATGTCAGTCTAGTTCGTTACACCGATAATACAAATGTCTTAATAGTTTCTCTTTTAGCATAGTATTCATCATTGAAGTTAGCAAAAGCACGTAACAGCAAATAAAAGCGCTAGCATAACAAAGCAGAACAAACATCCATAACAAAATACAATTGTTTACCTTACAGTGTGTTTCGAAAACACATTTGTACAGCCTTCTGTTCATGATATCTTGTATCAGTTGATATGCTCTGTCAAGTTGTTCGTTGTCTTTGCCTCTTGAGTCTTCTTCCTTCTTTTTATGCATAATCAGCTGAAGGACATCGTCTGTCAAAAGTGTGAATGCCTCCATGTCGTCCACTGTCTCTGTAATTCTAAATCAACGAAAGTAAACTAACTACCTGAGTAATAAAACGCCAGTAAGAATAATATATACATGTTAGTGTATTTGCGTCAACAAAAAGATATCATTTGTTGAACATAATTATTTTCATATGACATGTTATTATAAAAAACTATACTATATTAGGTAGATTCAAAGATTACCTTAACAATGTACTTAAAAGTAAATTTAATGCATCTTTGTGATTTATTTTTATTTGTTTTCTTCATTTTCTTGTCTGAACTAAATAAGTGATTCGAAACTATCATAGGTATAATATTAGCTTACTTTTTCCCTCCAATTAATATGGAATCATTTGCTGCTTTCAAGACATCGCAAATCCTGAAATAAAAAATGCTAGCTGTAACTACTAGATTTCCATCTTTTTGTACTTAGCTCTCTGTTTCACACATTTATTCCATCACTAATAAAGTAAAACTTATTTATTGTAAACATATGCATGTGATATTTTCTTCAAAGCATTAAAATGCAAATTCATCAAGAAGAAGTAAGTCATCGTTAGCTGGAAAATTGTCTACAAATTCACCGAAGATGGAAGATGTTATTGCTTTAAAGTAACTTAAATCTTTATTTTATGCTATTCATTATATTGATAAAATATGGAAACAAAGTGATCCCTCGGAAGCATTTATCACAACAAAATTAGAAGAGAATTGCAGTCTATACATGAGGGATAATGAATACTGAAGTGAAGTACGGGGCAACTTTTTACAGCTGCCACACAGTACTTGACACCTGCAGTTGTGAAGTAAAAAAATCTGGAAACAAAGTAATCCCTAGGAAGCATTAATTACAACAAAATTACAAGAGAATTGCAGACTCGGTTTGATTGAGTCTGTATATGAGGGATAATGAATACATGCAACATCCCTCACGCCCCCTAGAACCGGCTTAAGCGGTACTCATTTCTCAACACTTAATAGTGCTGGCATCAATGATCCCGGAGGACCAGAAAAATATTACAACATTTATAAGCTTACATAAGGCCAATAACTGTATGCGTCTTGTGCTGATAAGCCCGTCTATGTAAGTTCAGTCTTGCGTAAAACATGTCATATAAGTCTATAGCGTCCTAAAATACAAACATAATAATATACCGTTTAAATATAATTCATTTATAGAATATTCTAAGGGCAGCGTATGACAAAAATATTTTACTTAATATATGACTCGAAAGTTTATGAATTTTTGTTCGTTTTGACGGTTGTAAGTCACATTGACGGTGCCAATGTCATTTGTAGCTTAAGGTCTTCAGCGTACAATTTTTTAAAAATGTGACAAGACGAGTAATATCATAACATAAAAGATAAAATGTTCAAAAGGGGCTAATAAAGTGTTAGAAGCCAAAACTAGGTCATTTGGTGACTTTTCAGCTCTACTGATAAAGAGCGAGCTCATTTGCACTTTCGTCCAAACGGGCACATGAGCATAGCAATATATTTGACGTAAGCTAGCTATAAAGCTTCGTCACATATAAGAATCAAAAGTCCTTGGAAGGAATGAGGCTGTGAGGATGACGGTTGATGAAAGCTTAATTATAAAAAGTAGTTGGGCACGTACGCGTAAATTATCATGTTCACTTTTCATGTTTTTGTATGTTTGGGCAATTCATATTTTCGTTTTTTTAGATGTTTTAATGATTAAGAATTTACTTTTTCTCTATAGCAAATTTGCTTCCGAGGAACTAAAGCATGTTCATCATTATTTCCATTACTCCCATCGGCCCCATTGCTTTGAATAACTCGAGCACTAGTAAAGCATCTCTCGTAATCTAACGTCATATGCAATCTAAGCATATGACTGTCACGTGCTAGACAATCCCATTTATCAACATCAACACCGTTTCTATCATTTGCAACAATCTGGAAACGTTAAAAAAAAGCATGACAATTTTGGTAAATACGAAATAAAAAAGAAGGTAGAGGAAGAAATACTCTTAATATAACCACTGTAAATGTTTCCATAATTACTCAACAACCTGTCAAATGAAAAAAAAAACCTGAAAATGCTGGATTTGAATCCTATCTATAGGCATAAGAAGCTGTATTATGTTCTGAAGCTGATCGAACGTCAGTCTATGGATCTTTACGTACAAGCATACATTTGAAGGGGTAGGTACTTGTTTGTATATGGAAAAATATTTACCACATCAGACAAAACGCTGGCACGCCGCAGCCGGGACTCGAACCACCGGCAATGTAGAAGCCTGTGGTACGAGTGTCGAGTATAATTATATAGATGAAGGATAAAGCCACACTAATATTATACATGACTTGCTTTCACTTACGGATACTATGATTTCACTATTACAGTGAATATGTGAGTTACATTTGAATGTTTTTTTCAGGAAACAATTCATTAGTTCATTTCAACCACGTCTTTAATTCAACTGAATGAAATCAATTCATCGGACGTAACAACAAACAATAAACTAAACTAGATCCTGGCCAAATGCAGCGTATACCACAACAAAATGTAAAATGATATAAAACCATAATAGTTGTTTAAACATTTAACTGACAAATAATCTTAACGTGAGCGTCTCAAGAATGCTATTCATGTATCTATATGAACAATTGAACAAACCTCATACAAAAAACTTTTATCTTCTGTTCGCCCCTTGTATGGCCATAACTGAAATATTTGTGAAACTCGTTTCTTTATCTTTATAACATTAAAATGATGATTTGCAGATTTGAATTCGTATTAAGTGCAAGCATTATTAAGCAATCATAATGTATGGAAAAAAGATTATTTTTATGTTCATCAAAGTACAATCATTACACTAATTTATTCTAATTATAAAGTAACTGATAAACGCTAGAAAATAAAAAATAAAATACGAAAGTTTTACTTACACCAGTTGAAATATCTTTCGGATCACCAATCATTTCTTTGATGAATTCAAAATCATTTTCCTCAAACCTCGGAAACTGACATTCGTTTAGAATATTTTGTATCTCGTCCTTCAATGTTCTCTCATCACCATATTCTAACATGTACTCAAACATTTTTCTTGCAGTAGCTTTATGCTACAAAAAAAAACGTGTATTACTTTACGCTTTAAGCTTTATTGATTAGCTTTGGTATATTTAGAACATTTTTTTTGTCAAACATATATATCAATTTTTCAAAAACCAAACAAAATAACAATATTTATTTCGCCGGCGAGAAGTTTTACTTATATACTGAAATTCTTGACATTCATATCTGATTTACTGCACAGTACATGTATAGTTCTCAAAAATGTAACACAATCACTTTAATGTCATGTTTTCATTTTCATGTGCTGAATAATGAATCGCTACTTATGTACCTTTGGTGATATTTATTATGCAAAAAATCTTATTTAGCATCCTTTTTTGCGTATCAAATATAACATAATGAATTATTTTTAAGCCTAAATCATTCAAACCAGTCTTAAAAAACTGTAATATGCATGCTCTGCTTCCACATATGACTTTACTTAAACGAAAAATCAACATCGAACATTATCAAACCAACAAAGTTAGTAATGAAAGCATGTTATTCAAAAATTTGTGGACTTTTTAAAAATCTTTTGAACGTCAACGTGGACTGTAATGAAATTTTATCAGGATACCTTGTAGAATAATATCAACATATTTTAAAAGTTACAGTTAAACCGCTACAATAACTAATAATTTTACATTGCTTTTAAATAAGCATATAAACGATACCCGCTGTACGGTAGAAAAGAGCAGTTAATCATCGTATTTTTTGCTAAAATACTAATAATTAAACTTGAAAACTGTACGGAAATTATACTTACACTGTTGCATATTAATGTTAAACATATTATCTAAATTAAAACAATGAAGCTATATTCTTTGCTGAATTTATTTCAAATCCTCATTTGACCATTATTTCTGAACTTTAATATCGGTGCCAGCATTATCGTTATGACGAGTGTATTATCAGGTATTTTTGCGTGTTGAATGTCGTAAAAGTAGGGTTTATCCGACACCCCTTTTCGAAAGTGGTAACTGACAGTTTTCGAAAGTGGTAACTGACAGTAGTCCGTCCTGATCTTCTGATAAAGATGGTTTCAATGAGTCATTCCTTTTTAAGAAATATGTTAAAAGCTAGATGAGTCCTTATACATGGGTTAACATGTTCTAAGACTCTATTTCTCAAAAATGAATCAAGGTACGTATTTCATTAGTTGTTTGACTAAAACACAGTATCTGATTGGATTATCAGTCTCAAATGGGGCAATAGATGACCGAGGCCATCCCGAGTTTTTTCCACTGGTCAGCGACTGTTTCTGGTACTCTCGCAGACTTTCAGGAATTTTTTAGTGCCAATGGAGACTATGACAATTTTAAAAACTAGGCACAGTCCTGTGACAATTGTTCTGGTCTGCGATGTGATTTCTCTCTCTCCCCCCCCCCCCAGTTTTAAACTACTACTTCAGTGGGAATACAAAAAAACAGGATTACATTAACATGTGTGCGGAAACCAGCGAAGGTTCAGTTCTACCTTTCCAGTTTAGTTGGTCAACGAAAAATATTTAAACATAAATGTTCAATGATAAGGTTATCATGAAACATACAATATAACAAACATAATTATGTCATAGAGATACATTTTATTATTAAATGTGACGTGTACTGATGTTCACCAATTGTTTTTAGCAATATTTATATAATCCAATCAAAATACACTTATCTTAATGCAGCTTGTACATTTTGCAGTAATTATATATATTTACTTACAGAAAAGTTAATTCCCATTTCCGGCATAAACTTCTTTTCAAATACATGAGAAAATGGTCCTTGGCCTTGAAATGAAATAATTATAATTACTGATTTGAAAAGGATCAATTCAGTATTTTTCAATAACAAATTCAAGAAATAGAAAATTATGATATAATAGGCAATGTCCTTATTTTATATGAGATGAAGTCATTCTAAGCTGCCAGATTTAGTTTAAAAGCACGTCTTAAGATGAACTTATTTCTTTTTAAATTTGTAGCAATAGTATAAGAAATAAATAGTCATAATCCAACAGACGAGTGCATAATGTTTTTATTAAATCTTTAATCATCAAATGTTTTATTATGCTATTGACTGGAATAAGGCTTGTTTTATATATATATTGGCACAAATGTAACTGTTGTGGGTATTTAAAAGCAATTAGCTCTATTAAAACATTTGACAATATTATAGATTCTAGGTCAATATAAATTTTAATTAAATTTAGCACAGCCAATCTGCTCATTATCAAGAAAAGAGTTTGAAAATATAATCGCTTGATGTATAAATGGCCGTGCCTACCTAGATCATGACAGATTCCGGCAATTTCTACGCATAAGATATCTACGTCTGTTATGTTTTCGTCTGGCTGTCGTTCTTTGAGTTTTCGGACCAGTTTTCCGGCGAGGTAACATACACTGCCATTTAACAAACACAGTTTTAAAAAAAAACAGCGAACACATGTTTAGATAGCTACATCACGACAACTGAAAAACATAACCCTTTGGGGAAGACAAATTTTATGTGTGTTGCTTAGAGGTGCTGCTCAAGAAAGATTTAAAAAATGACGTAGTCCTTCTCTATAACTGCCGTTGTAAATATGTTTTCGTTCTACAATGGACCGCTCTGTAGAGTTTTCACTATAACTCTGCATGTAACTTCTATGTTCTACGATGAAATGGTCATACAAAGATTGTAATAAAATGTGTTTTATTTAACGTAACAATATTTTCACATATTATTATGATATGGATGCACAGCGGGCTGTCAAAAATGCAAAAATTAAAAAAGTTGCTTACCTTCTGTGATCTTAGAGACAAAATTAGTGTACAGTAATGATATCATTGGACCTGGCATATGATCGATGTAGAAGACACAAAGAGAAACAACAGGACAATGATAATCCATAAATCGCATACCTGACTTAAAAGGCTCTGCATGACAAGGAACAAATAATACTTATGGCAGGTATTGGTTCAAAATCTGGGTCAACTGAAAGTGCCTCTGAATAGTATACATATAAAAACCACTGGTTGTTATGGCCAAAAATTTAAAAGTCTTTGGTTATTATAGAAATCACTAGTGATTAAGGGAAGTCAGTTATTGCTATTTAAGTCACAGGTTGTTGAGGAATAATAAGTGGTTGCTTATTCAATATCATGCCGGATATCGAAGATTTAGCTTTTGAGGCACCAATTTTTTCCAAAGGGCTTACATTTGAACAATCTTAGTAAAGACCCACTACACGATGATTCATGTCATATATTTAAGCTCCGGGCATTGTTGTTCAGGACAAGAAGATTGTTAAATATTACATTTGATTTATTCTGTTTTATGCTCCTGTAACGCTCTTATGCATCAAACAAGAGTAATTTATACAAATTTTGTAGAAGGTTTACTAAGTATCATTCCTGTAAAGCTTGATCAAAACCCACTGAGTTCTTTAACTTGAGATGTTCTTTAAAGAAAATGTGGATAACGACAAACGACAGACACAGTTGCCATCACAAAAGTTTACGTCCGAGTCATTTGTGCTCAGATGAATTAAAAACATACAATGCAATATTTTACCCTATAGAATGTTCAAATCTGTTGTGACAGGCCGTTGGGTACACATAATAGCAGGTCCCTATTTGTTTGATGTATCGGAGACGATGAAATTGAGGTGTGTTAATGATACGAACACACACCGGGTGTAACTCTATTTTTCCATGAATGAGATCCTGGAATACCTAATAAAATAAATAGCTCAATTTTAGAGAACAGTTATTAAGCGTTAATTATGAGGTAATTATTTTCTATAAACATAGCAAAATAATTAAATATAGATTTTTTTTGCAATTCGTAGCCCGACCTGCGTTAAAAGCTTTAACTTTTCATTTTGAGTCATTTTATACAGTTAATTTTTTTTCTGGACAAACGGATTAGGCATTTGCGCACAACTGATCTGTCCAGACTTGTATCAAATGGAATACTGATTAAAATAAATTCCAATACCGCCACGTCAATAAAAAACCTCAGCTGGTCCCTTAATTTAAGCTGTCAATAATCATAAAATATGCAAGATCATAATATCGGCAAACATTAAAGATCTGTTGAAAAACTTGAAAACAACCCTACTGCAAACCGATCATATAGATTAGTGTAATATACCTGATACACTTCAAATGTATGATAGTTTCTTTACGGGTATGAACTTTAAAAGGTATTTGATTTCATGTAAAATCAGGATAAAACACTGATAAGCTATCAAATGATAAGCTTGTACTTTAATTTATAGCTTACTTCATGATAGATTTATTTATCTTTTGATAAACATGGTTTTTGTTTAAAATAAATAGTCTTGATCATTGCAAAATAGTTTCATGATCAATATTTGTGATATAATCCAAGGACGTTTATAAAAAGGTCTCACTTTCTTATAACATTTGACTTAATTATACAGCTAAAATGTTGACGATAAGATATTTTCAGTATTACTTAATTGATAAGAAAGGTAAACTTAACAATACAATTGCGTTGTTTGTACTCTTACCGCAATACTTATATTTTTGCCCGTGCTGTATTTGAATTAAAAATCATAGAATTGCAATTTAATTTAACATTATTCTAGAAAAGAAGAGAACACGGCATATAAACGAGAAACAACAGACGGGGTTTAAAGGCCTTACCGAGCTTTGCATTCTCTTCCGTGATATACAACTGGCAAATTCATTTATCAAAGCCAATAAAATGCCGTCAATGTTATTACGTGTATGTGACTGTACTTGCAATCATTCAGACGGTGTAAGTGTTAATCCTTGCAATCATTTATAAAGCTTTGTCCATTTACTGTGATCTAGAAAAGCGGGGACAGATCCCTCAGATGTACGAAAATCAACAAAATTGTATGGAATTGCAGATTCGGTTTGATGAGTCTGTTAATGAGGAAAAATGGAAAAGTGCAGCATCTATAATGCCTTATAGCACCGGCACGCAGCATTCAATCATCAAAACTTAAAGTGATAAAACCGGTGATCTCAAATGTCCAGAAAGATTAAACAATACAGAAGTAATCTATCATAAAAGTTGCATTTATCAACAATATTGTAAAGAATTTAAAATAGTTGCACTAACTTTCCTGTTTGTATATAATTTATTTGCCTGGTCTTGCAAACTTCGTCTCTTTTCAGCTGTTGTCTGTTGGTTTTGTAACGAAGAAGCCATGTATTCTTGTTGGGTTCAGTTTCAAATAGCATATGAATCTTGAAAATAAAGATAAATAAAAGTTGTAGCTTAAAGGTTTTATGATAATCATGATAATAATTAAACTCATATTTGGTTTGGTTTCTAAAAATGCAAAGAAGTGCATTTTCATACATGTCATATATCATCTCTTTAAATTACATCATTTAAGTATACAGTTAATCGCATTTTTTGGCACATTTCCGGTCAATGTCTTTTATTGTTTTCAAATGGGCATTGCAACAATAAGTTGGAAAAGTCGAAAAAGTCAGAAAAAAAACTTTGGCCTTTTTCAATATCTAACACATTCTTCCCGCTAACTGAAATTATATATCCATGATATATCAAAATACCCCTGTAAATATTTTTGGGTTTTCGCGCATCAACACAATATAAGTCATATGGCGACTTTTCCGCTTTTCTAGTTCAAGACCCCCGGCACATTACATCAGCCACAAACAGGCACCTGTGTAGAACCACCGACGTTCCTTAAATTAGCGGGATATCTCTATCACATGTTTAATTCGAAGACGCTTGCGCGGACCCTTGTTGTTTATAGTGCTTCAAATACGTCGGGAAATACTTTAAGAGGATAAACTTCATCAGGTATGTAGCAAGTTTGACTGATAAGAATACCATCCACAAGCAACACTGTGACAAATTTCATGAAATCGTTTTGTATTAAACTCATCAGCCATTAAGTTATTAATGCTTCCGAGGGATCACTTTGTTTCCAGATTTTTATAAGTTGAACTAAGCATCTACTTGACAAAAAATGCATATCAGTATAGGACTGAATAGTGCTTCTGTTGTTGATAAAAAAAATCAATTGATTATTATAAATACTATCATTTCATATTAATACATGTTTATCTAATATTTTAATTTTGTAATATTTAAACCTTGATAATTGATAAATGTAAGATTTAAGTTATTTGTAAATTATTTTCAATGTTAACTTTTCAAATTTTCGCTTTTATGATTATAAGTTTCTGTGTCAGGATATTTCTGTTTTTCATTAATTATTTGAACACACAGAATAAAATTCTGTTGAGGGGTTGAGATGTAGGTGGAAGAGATGCGAAAAAGATTGATTTAAGTCTCTCGTTCATTATTGTGCCTTAAAATTAACTATTGTCACTTGGCCTATATTACTACAGTATCATTGGACAATGCACACATTGATGGACAATGTAAATTATCATTAATATAAAATCCATTATATAATTTTGGTTAGTATGTTAAAACATCTGAAATAAGTTATTTAATTTAAAAAAGAAAATTATACTAATGCCATTCAAATACTTACTCTTGTCATCTATTGCAAGATTAGCGAATTTAATTCCTAAGATAATCTATTTACATAAAAAGAAGTTAATATGTCCGTTGAATGTTCTGTTATGGTGTAAAAATCTTTAGCAACGAATGATTATGTGCTTAAAGAAATATGGTATATATATCTTAAACTAACAAATGCATATCATGCATATACAAATACAAGGAAATATAACAATCAATCAAAGCTTTATCTTGGTGGATAACTTACGCGTACGGGCTTTTTTTATCTTGGCCGTTTATTAGTACAATTCAAATAACAAAGAAGTTGCAATTGTCCGCTCATTCTGTCTATTCAGTGGATATATATATTCATCTTAAACATTTCTTTTGCAAGAATATTTAACTTAATAGAAGTACATTAAATGAGGTTTTGTTGAAGATAAAATGCACATATATAATAAAAGGCGTGTGAACTGTATTGCTGAGGTCTATAAAATGCTTATTGAACCGCGCTGTCTGTAAGCGTATTAAACATATTACACTGTTTTTCAGCCAGATTATATTTTACATATTGCATCATAGTTACTGATAACATTAGTCACATTACACTTTGGTGCGCGATAATAGTATTATGTGTTTGGATAACATTATTATATATTTATTGCACTTGAGCTTATGATAATCTTATAGACTTGTTGCACTGTATTTTAGTCTTTGAGCACTGTATTATATAAACTTATTGTACTATATTATATAGACCTATTACACTGTATTATTGACTTATTACACTGTATTATAAGCTTACAACACTGTATATTTTAGACTTATTGCACTGTATTATAGACTTATTGCACTGTATCGTAGACTTATTGCACTGTGTTATGGACTTACTGGAATGTATTGTTAACTTATAGCACTGTATGTGAGACTTAAGGCAGTGTAGTATGCTTATCTCAAGAATCAAATAGTATTAAACGTAAAATGATTTGTGACAGATAGGACAATGTTAACAGAAAGATATTTTGACTTTTAGACAAAATAATAGATAGAGGATATTGAACGAGTGTAAGTAAAATACTGAATATATTGAACGAGATGAATTAATTTAGTTAATGAACTTATACGAAAATAATACCAGTTATTCTATTTATCACATAACAAAAATAAAGATCGTTTGAATTAAAAAGAACACTTTCTCATTGGCGCGCCTATAGTATAACCCTAACATAACGCTATGTTTATAAAATGAAAATTAGGTCACGTCACAATATATACACGACCGTGTAATGCCATGTTCACGGATCGCAAAGGCGGTGCAGGTAGGTGATAAATCACATTAATTAAACTTACATATTGCCAAAACGTAAAAAAAACAGAAGATTATTCTGATATTATAATTGTCAATAAATAACTTTTTTTGATATTTTGACAGGACAAAAAACTTTAAAACATTTAAAAGAAATAAATAGGAACAATTGCATTGTTAAGTTTAATGGACGTTCCAATATTTAAACTGAAGATCCTATTTATTAGTGACTTTTTTCAGACAATTTAGCTGAACGTTGCTAATTCAAAAAAGACAATTGATCATGAAAACATGACCTACGTGGTGCACATACAAACTCTCATAATAACTTGTGGTTGAACTGTTTATAGATATTGAAGTAAATACTACTATCTCTTTGTGAATCACCTGCATGTTTTTATTTCGTGGTATTCTATCTTATTATACTTCCCGGTTTAAATCGGTTTCAATTCAAAGTACTTGCATAAACATACAATTGATTTTCTAATAATTATTATTATTTCATTTTTGAGTGCAAAGGGGTATCGAATGTTTTTGGATCATTTTTAAATGTATTATTATTATTATTATTATTATTATTATTATTATTATTATTGCATATAAAAATGCTTGAATTTATGAATTAAACCCAATGTTTTAACAGCAGGCTTTCTCGGATAACTAACTAGTAATTACTAATTTGTCCGACTACTTATATCATATGTTGTAAGAGACGAATGACCATTAGACTCTGAGTCATTGATAATTTTTATTTCATTTCATTTATTGGCAAATCGGCATTATAAATGCCTTTGACCATTTACACATACTAAATATGGTCAAGATATACAGTATACATAAAAGTAACACATATAACTTTAAATAATAAATGATCGCGTTATCTTTGTTTCAAAATACAAAAATAGTTACAGAAAAGTCAAGATTAACCATATATCACTGAAACCTTAACAGCATTTTTCATATTCCCAGTGTAAATAAAGTTTATGCCTAAATAACAAAAAATATCTACAATTTCTTATTTCTCACCATTAATAAACCATTCAAAAGAATTAGATTGTTTTCTGTTTTCAAAAATAACACATTTGGACTTTTTGGTGTTTATCTCTAGGCCTCAATTAATCAAGTATTGATAAATACAATCGAGTTGGACTTGCAAAACTGTCTGCATTGGTCGTAAATAAAACAATGTCATCAACAAAAATCAACATATACATTCATAACTGGTTCAAATCACCCTCTGAAAAATTATTTAAATCTAAACAATTATTAATATCGTTGAGGAACAAAATAGAAAGTAAAGATGAGAGTTGTTCCCCTTGCCTTAAACCAATACTTACATAAAAAATCGGACATATTCATGTTCGAAGACAATGTAACGCATGCTTTAACATTTGCATAAATATATTTCAACATTGTATTGATCGGCAGCTAATAGTTTAATCCATAAAGCCTCACGAACAACGGTATCGAAAGCCTTTTCATAATCTATAAAAACACAAAATAATTTAGATATGTTTAAGAAAATATTTTGAATCAATGTATGTAATAAAAATATACAATCACTTGTACTATGTTTGTCTCTGAAGCTAAATTGTGAATCGTTAAAGACATTATTAGATTCACACCATTTGTTAATTCTATTCCAAAGAATGATAGAAAATAGTTTTGCCATAACATTTATTAACGTGATTCCCTATAATTTATTAGAATAAGCTTCATCTGCCTTTTAAAAAATAGGAATAATTACGCCTTTACTCCAAGTATCAAGGTTTATACATGAATAAAAAAAGTGGATTAAAGGTAGTTACTAAATATGGTGATTAGAATCAATAAAAAAATCAGCAACATTTTGTCATAATCACAGCTTTTATGTCTATTCAGACTACTAATTACTCTAGAAACATCATCATCGGTAAAAGGACATTCAAGTTAATCTATAATGACATTTTCGTTACGAAGAGGCGTATCCTCATGAAACACAGAATAACTTTGATTCAAATTAGATAAATTCTTAAAATATTCGGCAAATTCATGAATGCTAATATCAGAACTTTTATCTTAAAATTTATCAATATATTTCCAAAGTTAACTTAAATTCGAAAATTTATTCTTTTCAGTATTTCACTAAACTCTATTCTTGCCTTCCTCCTAGTATAAGTATAATGTTTTCTACTTTGAAAAAATCTAGCTCGATTTCCATCAGATGGGACAGCTTTAAAAGCTCTTTAGTCACAATTAAAATAATTGTAAGCATGTTTACAGTTAGAATTAAACCAGAGAGACTTCTTTTTGACATTATTTTCAGCTTAATTTTAAATGTTTTACCATGTAGTTTGAAAGATATATCAAAAATAACTTTAGATAAATCATCAATAGACGAATTTACATCGCTTCCTTTAGCCTCAAGTTTATGTATAATATTATCAAAAATGTGTTTATCTTCCGCAAGGGTATTACACAACAAATTATTATCATTATCTTCCCATAAAACTTTATCATAAGTTAAAACATCATACTGATACAAAAACATATTATCACAATGTAAACTAAATTCAATCGGACAATGATTAGAAAATTCAGTTTAATCATTAACTTTCAAGTAGAAATCAATGCAAAATTATTACTTGTGGTTAACAAATAATCAACAATGCTAGCAGCCCTAACGGCCACGATTTACAATGTAACATGTAAATAAATCATTTAATAATCATTCCGCCATTTAATAATCATTCCGTTATCAGCATAAATGAAATAACTATTTTTATTGAAAAGCCAATTTAACAAACCTTCAGGTATTGATTTTATTCGTTGGAAGTTTTTAAAAAATGAAACAGCAACATTTGCGACATTGATTTTGCATAGTTTATTTATTTTTTAATTTAAAAATGGCTCCATTGGCTATCAGGCAAGAGAACCTTTTCATTCAAACGACACAATAATGATTTGATGAGTGATCAGAAATTCAACAAACAACATTTTTTTGTTGGAAAAATCCATTTTCAATGTTGCTTAATTGCACATAAATCCTTACGAAACGGATACTTTATGTGACTTAAGAAAGAGCAGACATGAATTTCGTTATACTTAAATAATGGTATTAGAACATGTTAAATGCATGTTATATGAAGAAAGCAGGGCAAAATGTGAAAATAGATGTCATAATAGTAGCATTTAAATCACTTTAACTGTATATCTTGTCAAAAAGGAACAAAGAAAAAGAGATGATTAAATGGTCAATGGCTATAAAAGAACACAAAAATTAAGCACAATCTTTTGTGAAATAAGGATATTACTTTTAAGGACATGAATAACCTCTAGATCGGTACATTGATTGCCCTTACACCACTCTCCAAACGCTGATATCACTTTATACACGATTTCCATTTCAAAGACGTCTTTATTACAATCGATTCGTATAATTCTCTCCTCAAAAGTGTCGAGAAGAGCATACGAAACCTGTTAAAAAATCACAAATAGTCAACACTGTTTGTGAAACTACTCATTTAAATGTTCTCTTTAAAGATTTAAACTCTACAACATTTCGACAGGAAAAAAGATCTTGAGTTATCAAAAGGTATTAGAGAAGGATACTATTCAAACGTGACTTGCTGATCGGAAAATAAAAACAATCTTAGTCTGAATAGCTAACAAACATGATAAATTAATGTACATATTATATTTAAGGACTCTTCCGGTTGTAAGAAAAATTAAGCATGTTTTGGTCTATAATAATTATCTTAAGTATAAAGATACTGAGGTGTGATTTTACCGAAATTATGTACAATTTTCTCTTAAAGTATTGCTTCTGTAAAATATCACGTACAAATTAAATTTTTTCTATTGTCTTTGATGTATAATCTATTGCACCAATTCTCTTTATCCTTATAGTTCC